AACCCTGCTTAGCTTCCAAGATCAGACAGGATCGGGCGTGTTCAGGGTGGCATGGCTGTAGACTACCTTGAAGTATTTTAAGCATGAAATGATTCTCTGTAAAAAGGATGATTCTGTGTAGAATGCTTGACACAGCACTTGTCATAAGTATTCAGTGAGTAGCAATGTCTCTAGTAATCTGTCAGGCATATTTCTTTATTATTGAAGACCATATCCAACCCAGATGCAAGTATAGTTGTGCCTAACTTCCCTCTGGAATAGGACAGTGGATTCAAATAAGACTTCTTCGTTCTAATCATTTTATTTAAAAATAGTTTCTCAAAATGAAAGAGTGGCTTTTTTTTTTTTTTTGGGACTATGTTCCTCCATATCCCAGCTTCCCTTGGAGTAACTCACATTCATTGATCCTCTTGAGCATTAGACGACTGCTCAGAACATTGACAGACAATATTGATTTGCTGATTTGAGATTATCTATAATGGAGACCAAGTGTCACCTGAGGTGTACATAAAGAACAGTTGAAATAATGAATATGTTTAGAATTATAGAAACTTCTTGGCTGGTGAGGAATTTGGAATATTCTTTCATATAATCAAAATTTACTTCTTTCCATCTATCTCTGGAGATGTCCTCTGAAAATCTATGACCTCACACACTCAAATCTTACGAAATTTCTTTGTGAATAATTATCAATCTTGTAAGTAAACCCTAAAAATTTCAGAATCTGTTCAGTTTACATTCTCCATTAGGAAAAAACTAGAGGAGTTTGTGTTCTTTGTGCTACTAATTCAGAAATAAAGCATTACCTAATGTAGGTAAGTATCTGCTTACTTACCGACTTGCCAGGATCAGCTAGAAGTAAACCTAGGCTTGTCTATGGCCATACCACTCTGAAAGTGCCCGATCCCATCTGATCTTGGAAGCTAAGCAAGGTCGGGTCTGGTTAGTACTTGGATGAGAGACCACCTAGGAAGAAGACCAGGTGGTGTAGATGTTTAAAGGGGGGTGGGGGGGTGGTGGAGGAGGAGGAGGAGGGAGACGAAGACCTAGGCTTAGTTTAATTCTACTTAAAATCACTCCTTCTTTGCCAAGGAAACTTGTTTATCCAAGCATGCTCACTAAGCTGGTACATTTGGCCTCTCCAAGATATGGCAGATGAGGATTTTGTTGGGTGGCAAAAAATAGTGGCTTTTGTTTGGAGAGTCAGTGTATGTAAGGGAGATGTCAGTATATGTAACTTCTGAGGCTCATGAAGTTTACATAGACCAGATGACTTTTATTTGATTTCAAAGAATTGTGTCAGTAATCCAGGTGAAGTGGGCTTGTATGCACTCAGCTTTTTTTTTAAATCTAAATTAAATGGCCTTTGTGAATGGAATGAAAAAGAACCCCCACCCCTCCCCTTTGCTGGGGACAGTGGTTGGAGTGGGCATGAAGGATTCAGTGCTGTTTTGTGAGTCACTCTTAGAACAAAAAGGTCTTTCTCTCCTCTCCCTCTCCCCATTTCGTGCCCTCTCTCCAGTGCTTCCTCCCTTAAGAGATCCATGTTGGGGACTCCCCTCCCCTCCCCATTTATTATGTTGGCATTGAAGATTTATGTGCCTCTGTGTGGATTTGGAGGTCTAAGGAATAGCTGCTGTGTTGGCCTGACTGCCCAGAAGGGCATTCTCCTCACCTCCATGAAATAGCATTGGTCAGCCCTTTGTCCTGTGAAATCTCCCATCTCCCCACTGACTAGAAGACTTCCCCAGCCTGATAAGAGTTCGTTGTTTCCAGGCTAACTTGCTGCAAGGCGGGGTGGCCCTCTCTCCTTAAGGAATCTTTTCATTTTCTACCACTGTTTTTTTCTTCTTCTCCCCCTAACCCCCACTCCCCATAGTCTCCCCTCCTCACCTTCCTTTTCTACCAAATCTTCCCAGCTTTAACTTGATAACTCGAGTTTCAGAAATGAAATCTTTGGCTTCCAAGCTTAAGCCTGGGCCTTCTCTCCTACTTGGACCTTGTGACAATCCATGTGAGTTTGAATTAAAGCAGCCAGGAACCCAGGCCACTATTGTCTTGCAATCTAATTTTTTTTTTCTTTCTTCTTATAGGCAAAGAAGAGGAAAAGAGCAGAGCGCTTTGGGATTGCCTGATGAGAAACTCTTGATGCTTTCTGTTTTCCAGTGGTTTCCATCTCTCTGACTCTTCTAGGTCACATATATACCTAAATGCACAGTCATGTGCCTAGGGCCTGCCTTGCAATGAGGGAGCATGTACCCCAGGTACATCCGTGAACTCCAGCAGCAATTTGACATATTGCTGTTCCAACTTTAAGGTTGTTGTTGTGTTGTTTTTTTTAATTATTATTTTGCTTGTTAATAAAAAATAGAAAAGAGAACAGTGTGTTTTATTAGGTGCTCTTTTGAGTTCTTAGAGCCAGATAAGACCAGATTTGGGGAGTGTCAGGGACAGATATTATAGGGAGTTAGCCATAATGCCTTTACCCTTTAGAAGAGAGGATAAGGAAAAGGATTGAGTCCATCCCTTTAAGTCTATTTATTCTTTTCTGCCTTACTCACAGACATCCTTTTATTTCTTTATGCTCCCTGAAGAGCTTTTTCTCTCTCTACTCTGTCTCTATCTGAAAACAGAATCAGAGAGAATTCTGTTTGGTAACTTAGGAGAGATTGTAGATTCAGTAAAGGTTTTCTATCCTAGGATGTAAAAATAAATAAGTAAAGGAGTAGATGCTTATAATGGAATGGAGCACTGGGCCCTTAGGAAGTTTCCTTGATACATTGTTTCTCATTTTGTGTGGATTTTTTACTAACCTTTCCATCTCATTCCAGTAACTGTTCTTATGTTGGTCAGAAGTCTCACCTCCAAGCCTGATCACAAGATCCTCTTCCTGTCTCGCAGTCATTCCACACATACTTTTTGAGCATGATTATGTCTGTCTTTACTAATTCAGTCTTAAAATAGTAAGCCCCTTTAAAGGCATTAACAGGCATCCAGGCTTTAATCCTTTATCTGAGATCCAAGTACTCTTCTTTCCTATCCTCTAGTCTCCCTATTGTAGCTGATCCAGGATCCAGATGGGTAGCTGACTGGAGTCTTTTTTCTGTCCTGAAGCTGTGACATTCTCTGCATACCTGGAAGCTCTTAATGAGAGAGTCTGTAATAGATGTGGCGGGAACTAGCTTCCTCAGTTGTAAATCTGTACCTTTTTATGGTTCTCTAGGATCATTCTCTTTTTCTCCACCATCACTCTAAACTGCCCTTCCCCCCACCCCAACTCTGGGAACTTTTGAAGATACAAGGCTAGAAGCTTCTGTGGGGGTGAGGGCTATAGGAAGACATGAGTAAGAGCAGGACTTCTTGGTATTGAGTCCTGTTGTCATGTCTGATATGAGAAACAAAGGGGAGGAACTTAACCTTTTTCCTCTGTTCTCTTCTATGAGGGCCTCTGATAGGCAGTGTCACTCACCTCTGATTATTGAAGTCCAACAAAAACTAACCTCCCCATCTCCTGCCGCATGTCCACACATCTTGTTTTTAACCTCCAAAGAGATTAGAAAATAATGGCAGTCTTAATACTTTTGCGAACCCTTTGAGCCCAGGGTACTCTCAGCTTTCTCTTTCTTTTCCTTTCTCAGTTGTCTCTGCCTTTAGTTTTTCCACTTCTCCGATCACTATTAATAGAACATATTAGATTATTGTGTAGCAACTACTTAGGTGTAATTCCTTGTTCTGCTACACTAGCTCTACTGGCTCTGAGACCCTGGGCAAATTACCTAATTATTCTGTGACTCTTTCAATATTACATACTCAGCACAATTTGCTGAGCATAGCTTGCATAGTAATCATTCAGTAACTATTAGCTCTTAATTTTACTAGGTGATTTACAGTGGAAAGATTTTTTCCCTGAGTAGGTTCCAGCTAGAGGGTAAGGGGCTAAATGGATTAGTTTGAGTGTCGATATGTGTGTACACCACATATGCAGGTGCATTTGGGGGTTCAGAGAGTGAGAAGAGTCCTAATTGCCCCCTTACCCCCAGTTCACTGGTAGAAAAGCTGACATTGTGACCTTGGGCATTGAATTTGTTTTTGCCTCACTGTAGACCAGAAGGTTAACCACTGCCTGCTTGTACTTAGCTTGGGGACCCTGACATCCAAAATATGGGCAAAGATAGAGTATAGGATACCTACTCATGCATTAAGTTGGAGGATGTTTGGGGATAAAAGTCATTTTGCGATCTCTTCTGGGTGTCCTCTCAAAGTAAGAAACAATGAGCAATAGGGAGAGAAAACCTTTTTTTAGCTCAGGCTAAAAGCTAGGGGTAGGTGTGATAAAGCAGTTCCTTGGGATGATACAATATGTAGCACTTCATCCTCTCTTGTAGTTAGTCTGAAGTGGGGGTCAATCTTTGAAAAGAACTGACAGGACAGGGAAAGCATGGTGGTGCATTGAACCCTGAGTGGCCCTGTGCCCCATTCTGGATCAGGTCGATGTCAAAGGAGCTTTTCTTTTTTTAAAATGTGGGTTAGGCAAGAGTCCTTTGCTACACCCAAATCTTATGCTTTGGGACGTGTGCCCTAGGTGCATGGGAGAAATTTTTGAGATACTGGCAAGGTGAATGGCTATGTTGGTTTGGTTTGTGGATTTTGGTAAAATTTTGTTGAGGACACCTAGGATCAGGGAACTGTAGAATAGAAGTTAGCTGGATCATCTCAAGAACCTTTAGATCTTCTGTTCTATGGGGGTTTGTATAAGGTTTTTATAATCTTTGGGACTGTTTTGGATTCCGGCTCTTCAGGGAAGTGTTGTTCTAGGTCCTTTCCCCTAGGCTGTATGTCCCAAACCTCATCCCAGATATCCCTAGTGTTTTTCCCTTGCACCAAAGACCCCTATCTTAGTTCTTGAGCACCAGGTTTCATCCTCTCTCAGATCCTCTTCTGTTGCTGGTCTCCAAGATGTAAATGTGGCGCTCGGTTATGGAGAAGAGCTCATCACTGAATTCTAAACTCTTTGACTGCTTTTATTTTTCTTTTTTCAGGTTCAAGTGCTGGATTGTGTCATGTGACCATCCCAAAACTCAGAGCACCCAATGGCCATCTTTGCCCTCTGTCACATAACTTGAAAACTGCCTGATGGCCTTTTTGCATTAGTTCCCTCCAGGAATCCTTGATCTCAGTGAAGAAGTCCTTTCCTGGTATTCCAGTGCCCATCAGCCCCATACTCCTCAGACACCCTTAACAAACAAAGGCAATCACGCACAGTGTAACATATACACAAAGTAAATAATAATTACACTAATTATGATCGGAGGGCACTGGCGAGGTCCACACGCATAAGGTGGGAGGGGGGTACTAGTTCCCACTAGATCACTGGGCTATGCCCCCATACCTCTTTGGGGGTGGGGAGGACCAGGGAAAGGAGACTTCAACTCATAGATTTATGTTCATAAAAGAAAGACCCTCTCCCAAAGGTCTTTATTTGGTGGTATTAAAGGGGCATAGTCTAAGTATCCCCAAGTGTAATGCCCCAGCTCTCTAGAATTTGTAGAGGGAAGTCACCTGATTCCTATTGCCCAATCTCCACCCTGTGCCAAGATCAAAAGACACAAATTTGACCTTGGAGAAGGCATCTTCTGTTCTTCACTTTCCTGTTCCTTTCCTTCCACTAAGAAAATGTGAATGGTGTTGATAGTTTTCCAAGACTGGGGCAGAAGGAAGGATGAAGAACAGGGTCAGAGAGGAGAGGCTGGGGGTTAGCTTAGCTGCTTTATGGGAGGAGGCAAGTTGAAATGCTTCAGTAGCCCCTGCCCATTCCTGTACCGAAACACCTCATCTCACTTTCTCACTATGGGAATGGGAATAAGATGCTAAAGATCACAAGCATCACCTTCTCAAGGGTGGTCACATACCTTTGCCCCTTCCACTGGCTGGGTCAGGCAGGAGAGTCATGCTCTTGGGAAGAACAAGCCTTCCTGGTCAGCTCTCCAGCTCAGGCTTTACTTTAGTTCAGTACTGTTTGCATCAGACCCATAACTGCTGGCTCTGTCTACTTAGAGTAACAATTTTGCTGAAGGTTTTTTCCCTCTCCTCTCCTGATCCTCTAGGCTCTTGCCTGGAGCCAAGAGGTGGTGAGGTATGGATAGGGTGTGGATCAGGAGATTCTCAGTTCCTTGGCTTCAGGCACTGTCCAGCTGGGAGGCCGAGGGGAACTTGTATTCTGAAGCCTGCGACTCCTCTAAGCCTCACATCTCTTCACCACTACTCTGGTGCCCTGGTTATCTGTCCCACAGCGAGAGGTATTTTATGTCCATAAAGTGCCCGTGGTAAGTGCTCAGAATTCATCTCTTGGCTGTGGCGGGTGCTGTTATTTCTCATTCCATCGAGGGGAAGAAACTGAGGCACAGTGAGTCCAGAGGAGGGGTGGGTCAGGATTGTGGGAGAAATGAATAGGCCCAGCTAGTGACTTGGAGTGGCAATCAGTCCCTGCCTGCTTCCTAGCCTTCCAAACCAGGGAGTCTATCCTTCCTATCCTCTGCTCTAACTGGCCCTGTCAGATGCCTTTCCCCACTGTATTGTACCCTCCTTGCTGCCAGTTACTGCTAGATTCCAAAAATAAAACATAAAAATAATTATAGACACTCTGCTCCCTTGTTCTCCCCCCTTCCACCCTGAGCTTTGGGGTTGGGGGACTAAAATGTCCCCCTTCCAGAATCCCTTCCACCTTGGTTTCCTGGCTGTATTCCCTAGCCCAGAGTAGTGATTTGGATTTTACTACTACTTTCTTGACCCCTCCTAACCCTTCCCAGACCCAGGGAATTTGGGATCTCTATACTCTTTTTTTTTTATTATTATTATTGACCTGAAGATAGAGGCTGGGAGCAGGGCATTCCACAGGCTCTTTGGTCTCTCTCTTGGCTGGGGGGAATTTGGGCATAAGCAAGCCACACCCTCTGGCCAAATAACTCAGTACTATGACTGGTACTGTTTAGTGGCTCTCAAATAGATCCTGAGGGTAAGTTTAGTGGCTCTCAAATAGATCCTGGATGTTGAGGCCTCTCCACTCCCCACCCCCACCCCCACCCCCAGCTCTTAAACCCTAACCTCTTATTATTTCCAAGACCACTGGAATTCAATTCAACCCATTTGGCTCAGGAAGGTTAAATAGGGTGATTATGGGTTGGAAACTTCACCATAATGTCAGCCCTCTTGCCCTCTACTCCCATTCCCAACCCTGGAGGCTTTATACAAGTGCTTAAGTAGGTGGGTATCGAGGGAGAACAGGGTTTGGGAAATAAGGGACAAATGGGGCACAGTGGGCAGGGGCCCTTCTATTTCAGTAAAGCCAAATACCAAAAAATGAAAAGTTACAATAAATAAATAAATAAAATTCCAAAACTCGCTTTTGCCCCTGCCCTCACTGCCCTTCCCCCGGCAACTGCTGGAGAGAGAAAGGGAAGAAGCTAAGAATGGATTTTTGATTTCCTCTCCTACTGAAAATGGTAGTCAGGGGGTCTCCCCAAACCATATCAAGCTCCTCACCTTGCTAATAAAGGAGGCTTGGTGTAGGGCTTTCTTATTACTCCATTTCGGTCTCTTTCTTATTGTTTATCTCTGCCTAGTCTGTCTCTTCTGCCTCTCTATCCCTTTGCCTTCTCACTGCTGCTCTTAGTGTTCCTGTCTCTAGCCCTCTGCTCTGCCTGTCTCTATGCCTCTCTGTCGTCTTGCCAAACCTTCTCACCTGCAAACTTCAAACACTCCCCACCTGACCATGCCCCCTCTTCCCCTGCCCCAAACCCCTCACCCCTCAATCCCCACCTGCCTCCCTCTTGTTGTATTGCACACTGCTTGGGCAGGGAACAAGGTGTGATGTTCATGGGAAGAGGTGGAGAGAGCTTTAGGGCCTGGGGGATGGGGGTCAGGGCTGGGGATCTAGGGGTAGGGTCTGTGGGGGAGGTATCCTCTATACCCCACCTTAGGAGCAGCCACAGCGATCCACCACCATGCCAGGGATCTTGCCGTAGATAATCTGCTGCTTGTCATTGAAGTAGAGCATGTTGATTGGGGACATCTTGGTGGGGGTACAGCAGGGCCCAGCAGAGCCTCTTGGATTAGCCTGCTGCACCAAGTGGGTGTGCGGATACTTTTGCATGAACATGTACTCGCACTGGCCGGAGCAGTAGTTGGCCTTGTAGCGTTTAGGTGCGATGATCCAGTCCCAGCCGAAAGCCTCAAAGTCCACTGTGAGAGGGTATCGGCAGCAGCGGGACTCACTCGAGTGCTCATCGCAGTCCAGGCCCAAGTTCCGCCGGGACCGTTTTGTGTTCTCTAGGACTCGAAGCTCCATGAAAGGATGCTGGGATGGGAGAGAAGAAAGATGTGATAGGGCCCTGAAGGATTCCTATTCCCTGTTTCTTTCTCACTTGCCCCTCAAGAGGGGCATGAGAACAGAGACCAATGACAGCTTTTCCAGTGCTCCCATCCCAAGCCCTTCTGCCCACTTTTCTTGCCAGCTAATCAGCGCTCCTTCAACTCACTTTCCCTAATTCCTCTCCTGGCAACCTGACCCTCATCAGCTCCTTGGTCCAAGGCCTCATCAACAGCCCATTTTTGTGTTCCCAGGGATCTCCCATTAACACACCTTTAGCCCAAATCCAGTTTTCAGCTGTTGCCTGGCTCTGATCTCTGAAAAATGATAGCTGCCACTCCCCTCCCCCGCCCACTCCTCTAAGAGAAATAATGCTGGTCCCCACCCTCCTTTACATTCCTGGTCTACCTTCTCTAAATCCCGCCTCCTCAGGGCCAGGTTACACATATCGGCCACTATCTCAGGCTCCCTGCTCACCAGCCCCTCAGCTCCCGGCCCCAGGGAGGTGACAGCCAGGTCTGTGCCACTGGGATCAAAGGCGTTGATCTCGATGCCCCAATTGCTCTGTGGCTGGCGGAACCAGCTGTGTAGCACTTGCTTGAAGTCGATGCTCTGCCAGTGGCCTGAGCGGGAGTGCAGCTCAATCTTGAGTGAGCGGATCCGGATGTGACGCCGGCCTCCGCCCCCTCCCCCAGCAGTCCCTTCCCCAGTTAGGGGTTTCAGTCGCAAGATCTGCAAGTAGACTGTGGCTGGGCGGGGCACAGGCCGTAGATACACCCACAGCTGGGCCTTCAGTACCTTTGTGAACATCACCTTGGGGCTGAAGTGGAAATGGCAGCAGAGAGGGCTGCCATCTGTCTGCACCGCAGGGTCCGCTGATAAGAGAGAAGGGGTACAGTGTCAGCAAAGGGTGTTTGTGGAGAAGGTCAGCAGCACTGGGTGGCACTGGCAACTTGAACTTCTCAGTCTGAGTTTTCTAGTTCTTCACTCTTTTCCCATGCCTGTCCTGTCTTGTTGACTACCATGACTAACAGTGCTTCCTCTCTCTGTAGGATGATGGCTCTATCAGGCCTTACTGATCTGTATCCATTCCCTAATCCATTTGCCTGAATGCATAGGTTCTCTTCTACCAGATAACCTGCAAAGATCGTTATTAGGGAATTCTAACGCCTGCAGCCTTCCCTTTCTCCAGCTTTCCCCAGCTTTCCCCAGCATGTAGGGCTCCTAAGTTTTTCTGAACCTTTGATGCTCTTCATAGAAGCCAAACCTCATATCACACCTGCTGTCCTCAGGTCACCTTGTCCCATTTCTGCCAGGTGGAGCCTGGCACAGCGCCCCCCCCCCCCCAAAAAAAAAAAAAGATGAACACCAATGAAATAATTTTCTTTGTATCCTTCTCTCCAGTGTCATTAATTTCTGCTTTGGTTTGTGGCTAGTAACAAAAGAGTCCAGACTATAATATGTGTTGAATTCTGAGATTACCAATTTATCATGGGAAATTATGGAAA